TTAATCATATAAAAATTAGTCACATAAGTAATTAGAAAAAATATTCATGACTCAAAGCTCATTGAAGGCCTTTCTTGACTCCCTCTAATGCTATTTCTTCCTTTATTGAAAGCTCATAGCTATCTTTGTAGTTATGGAATTCAAAGAATTTATTTTATTCTACTTTACATTCTAGAGACATTGAACTTTCTACTTTTCCACTAATAGAACAAGAACTCTTGCATCTCTTAGAGTCCTTGAGTCTTACACATGTCCATATCCTCCCCACCTCCATCTCTAATTTGAATCCTGGAAAATGGTAGGCAATGTATGTGTTCAACAGCAACAACAACAACAAAAAATTTTGGTATACCAAAAGCCAATTTCTCCAAAGGGCCCTAAGAAAAATGAGTTATATTTTGGCAACCACAAACATTCATTTTTAAGCTTTATGTAACCCCTACCAATTTATCTATATTCTCATTATAAATAATATTTCTACATTTCTTGTATATTCCTTAAAAATTAAAATACTGAGAACCATTCTGCTAGTACAGTAATTGTAGTTATGAATCACAATGCGTATATTTCTAATACAAATTGAAATCATTGAACTCTTCCTTGCTAATGTAGAAGAGTGCCAAAAAAAAAAAAAAAGATTTTTTTATGGGTAACTCCTAAGAAGTTTAAGAAAAAAAACATTTTTTTATACTGAGAAAAGATGTAACTCTTGTGTTCTTAATGTAAAGTTGAAAACAGAATTTAACAAAGAGTTTTACTCCTAAGAGGATCTCTTATTTACTCATTTATTCATCTAGAAATCATTGACAGGGTATTTATGCCTCGCCACATGTCTAGCAGTATGAGAGCTGCTGAGGCCATAAAGATAATTAAGGTGTAGTTCCCACCTTCCAGAAACTCACACTAAAGTCAAATCTTAAAAGACTACMTACGTGTAAGAAGACAATGAGATTGCCCCTGGTTGGAGGAACAGAAAAAAGGGTTCACAAAGGAAGGGACAGAGTTTGAAGCTTAAGCTTTACTCTGCAGATTTCAAGGTTTTTTTGTTTTTGAGTGCAGAAGTAACAAAACATGCTGCTATTTTTGTAAGAAAGAGATTTGGGAAAGAAACTGATCATTTCATAACAGTCCAGTGAACAGATGAGGACCTAGTTGTGGCAGGAGAAACCAGATCTGGAAGATATTTGGTAGGTAGTATCAAGAAAACTTGATAGATTGCCGAGGAGGTGAAAAGAATCAATCAAATGACATTTAGGCCTTTGACAGATGGATGAAAACATTAAATGAGACCTACATCATCAGTTAACAAGAACTTACCAAGTACTTTCTATATAGGTACCAGACACTAGCTATACAAAGAYTGTTTTCATTCTAGTCAGGGAGGCAGATAGTAGACAAATGAATAATCTACAAGAGTAATAAATGTGATGGAGAAACAAAGTTACATAATAGTAACAGGGGAAGGACACAGCCGAGGTAGTCATGAAAAATTACACCTGAGTGATAAGAGCCAAGCGAAAATATGGTAGAAAGGGGGAGGGTGGCTAGCAAACACAAGGTTGAGATGAGGAAGAGCTTATCATCATCAAGGGTCAGGAAGGCAGGTGGTGGATGAGGATGGGGACTGGGGATATGGAGAGAAATGAAATTGGAGAGAGCATGGAGGTCTTTGTAGCCCACTGCAAAGAGCTGAGTGTGCATTCTCTGTCCAGTGAGTAGTCAGCAGGTTTGAAACCAAGAAATGATTTGATCTGGCTGATAATTCTCTCTGCTACATGAAGGATGGGCTTAAGAGGGAAGAGTCCTAGTAAAAGTGGTGGTTTAGACTAACAATGACAACACTGAGAAGCAGTCAGATTCCAGACGGATGACAAGACTTGCTGATGGACTAGATTTGGAGTGTGAGGGAAAGAAGGGAGCCACAGGGGTTTCAGTTCTAAACCAATAATATAGGGTGGTGATATTAAATAGAAATGATGGAAACCTGGACAAAGAGAAGCTTCAGAGTGGTGGGGTCAGGAATCATGATCAGGTAATGGCTAAACTGTTAAGAAAATTCCAAGTAAAATGTATATATGGTCTAGAACTCAGGTGAGAGGTCTAAGCAGAGGTACACTTTGGGAGTCATGAGACTACACAGAATTTAAAGCCTCAAGATTGGATTAGGCTCATTTTGACTGAAACAAAGTCTGGAGGTGAAGGTGGGGATGAGGGAAAGAATGTGCAACAATATCTTTGTTTTGCATTTTTGAAGGAATGGAATAAAGAATCCCATTTTTTGGAAGTTTAAGATCAAATTAAGGGCTGGGGATGTGGCTCAAGTGGTAGCGCGCTCGCTACCAACAAAGATGTTGTGTCCGCCGAGAACTAAAAAATAAATATTAAAAAAAAAATTCTCTCTCTCTCTCCCCTCTCTCACTCTCTCTTTAAAAAAAAAAAAAGATCAAATTAAATATCATCAGGCTTTTTTTGTGACAAAACATACATAGCCTCTAAAAGTACTTCTCATTATTGTACTCTTGAGCTGTGATTTAACACTTCGACCTCCTTTATAGTGTACTTGTTTCTAGTCTGCTGTATCAGTGAGCTCTCTGACAATAAACACTGCCCTCACACTGCCCAGAAGCTACTTGGAAGGCACTTTTGAAATATCAAATAGAGCACAAATATATACATCCAGACTTAATCATTAACAATTGATTGTATTAATGGAAAGTCTAGGAGGCAGCTAGTTTCAAATTTCTAAGGATTATAATCTTGAAAATTCCTTTCAAAAGAATTAATCTTGAAATTCTATCAGTGAACGAGCTTTGAAAAATAATTGAGTTCTGCAGATACTTCCAATGATCTGAATGTTTCTATCCTCCCCCAAATTCATAAGTTGAATATGAATCCTCCAGGTGACAGTATCCAGAGGTATGGCCTTTGGGAGGTGTTAGATGATGAAAATTAAGTCCTCATGAGTGGGATTAGTTTCCTTTAAGGGACTGAAGAGCCCAGAATTCTCCTAAATATTTTTTCTTAAACTTCTTAGGAGTTACCCATAAAAAAATCTTATTTTTGGCACTCTTCTACATTAGCAAGGAAGAGTTCAATGATTTCAGTTAGTGTTAGAAATATACACACTGTGATTCATAATTACAATTACTGTACTAGCAGAATGGTTCTCAGTATTYTAATTTTTAAGGAATATACAAGAAATGTAGAAATATTATTTATAATGAGAATATAGATAAATTGGTAGGGGTTGCATAAAGCTTAAAAATGAATGTTTGTGGTTGCCAAAATATAACTCATTTTTCTTAGGGCCCTTTGGAGAAATTGGCTTTTGGTACACCAAAATTTTTTTTGTTGTTGTTGTTGCTGTTGTTGTTGTTGTTGCTGTTGTTGTTGTTGTTGCTGTTAGGACCCATGAGAAGGAAACAACTAAAAACCAAAAGGCTGGCTCTCATCAGATACCAAATTTGCCACCACTCTGATCTTGGCCTTTCCAGACTTTAGAACTTTAAGAAATAAGTTTCTGTTGTTTATAAACTACCTGGTATATGGTATTTTCTTATAGTAGCCTGAATAAGAGTAAGACACTAAGCCATTAAACTCAAGTAATCATTGATGATTTCTGAACCATCTGGGTGGTTGTTTCCGAAATCCCAAATACATTTCCTATCAAAGATGCTACTCATGCCCAGTGTGGTAACACATGCATGTAATCCCAGAAGCTTGGGAGGTTGAGGCAGGAGGATCATTAGTTCAAAGCCAACCTCAGCAACTTAGCGAGGTACTGAGCAATTCAGTGACACCCTGACTCTAGATAAAATAGAAAAAAAAGGTGGGGGGATGGGGTTGGGAATGAGGCTCAATGATTAAGCATGGTATTAAAAAAAAGATGCTATTTATGGTCAGCACTCACTAAATGTTTGAATAAATAAAATAGATCAAGTTGATTCAATATATAAGCTGGAAATTTTCTTTGTCCTAGATCTATTTCTTTCATCACTAAGCTCCTTGCACAGTGACTTAGGTACAGTCAGTGCTTAATAAATATGTGTTGTATGCATGAATAAAAGAAAAGAACAGTTTTATGGAAAAGATGATTCTTTTTTCCTCTTCATAAATTTACTTCCCATATCATGTCTAAATAAGTTTTCCTTATTAAAAACATTTGCTCACTGTGAAAAATATAAATATAAAAATACAAATCTCTCTTAAAAYAAAGGTTACTTCCTAGTTATAACTCATGCAACAAAGTCTTTTGGCTGCTTACTCTGTTATGCATTGAGGACACCATGATGGGCCACTCAGGCCAGGTTCCTGACCTCACTCTGGCTATATGTAGCAATAACCTCCCTCACTACAAACAGAATGTAAGCAGAGGTGTGTCAGGTAAAGAGTTTCAAAATTCATGGCTCTCCCTTCTGCCCTAATACTTAACATTCCCCTAAGTCTTAAAAATGATTCTTTCAGTGGTTAAATAACGTTAATATATTTCTACATAGTACTCAAAATTATCTCAACTATATTTCCAAGTACCCTCAAGGAGCAAATAGCTTTCTCATGTGAAAAGAACGAATACCCTAGCTTTTTTATAGAACATTGTCAAAGAGTGTACTTCACTGCTGGAAATGGTAAGGTAATACAGTTCTGAATAGGTCATTTTCAAACCTTTCTCCATAAGTTCATATACTGTCTATTTATCCAAAATATTAGAGAATAACCACTCAGTTAAAAATAGTTCAGATGTTTTAACTTAAAAACTCTATTCCCCTTTTTGTTTTAACAGAAAGTTTCCATTCCTAGCACTGAGAAAAGCTTAGCTRTTGGGAACTCCCTCCYTCCCTATACTGATATCTTCTGACTTTCAGCAGATCACCTGTTTCTTGGTATCTAGGCACCTGTTTGTATATCCAGAGCTAAAGTTACTCTTTATCCTCAGAGGAATATGTAATCATAGTGACTTGTTCAGTTTCACCCCAAAAGGACTCTTACTGTGTTTCACTTACCTCCAAAGGTTGGCTGCCTTCCACTTCTGAAGCTTTACCCCTTGCTTCATTTGTTGTATCTCCTATGAAGTAAAAAGGACAGAAACTTCACCACACTATTAAGCCCAAATTGTCTTCTACTTACTCAATTTTTTTCATTATTCTGTTTCATATAATGAAAACAACCACTATTTCCTTTGTCACAAAGTAAATGAGTTAATTCTGAAGAACAGTAGTTTTATACAGGTCTCATAAATCATCCATAAACATATATATACACTACCTACACCAGAGATGTATCCTGCTTTATATAGGTATATGCTAGAAAAATCAAATGAATTCTAATTTTTAATCAAGTCATAGTTCAAATAAACAAAGAAAGTTTGACTTAAAAAAAAGGCAAATCATTTTAAAACAGCATTTTTATCATATGAGTAACTGTCCTCCAAATTAATTTTTCATAAGGTTTACTCTTTTTCTATTTTTTTTTTTAGAGAGAGAGAGAGAGAGAGGAAGGGAGGGAGGGAGGGGGGGGGGGAGGGGGAGAGAGAATTTTTTAAAAAAATATTCATTTTCTAGTTTTCGGGGGACACAACATCTTTGTTTGTATGTGGTGCTGAGGATCGAACCCGGGCCGCACGCATGCCAGGCGAGCGTGCTACCRCTTGAGCCACATCCCCAGCCCAACTCTTTTTCTATTTTTATTATTATTWTTTTTTAGTTGTAGATGAACACAACAYCTTTATTTAATTTATTTATTTATATGTGGTGCTGAGGATTGAACCCAGTGGCCTAYACAYGCTAGGCAAGCACTCTACCACTGAGCCACAACCCTAGCCCATAAGGTTTACTCATTGAGTGTTTGTGCTTTTGTGGATCTGCCTTGAGTAGATATTGTACTTTTCTAYGTAATAATTAACCAAATGCCAGATAATCATTACCACAGGAAAGAACAATGAACAAATGCATAAATTAGTCTTCAGTTAATACTTTAATTTCTAAGGYTGGTACCTGAGTGGGTTATATTACTAAATGAACTATGTTACTAAGCTGCCTGGAAGGACCCAGAACAGATATACATATAGTTGGGCAAGTATAAGCATGATTAACTTATTAATTACCTGCTTTAATTTATTAATTATTGCTAATGGTGATGATTAACACATGATAGGTAGACAACAAATTAGCCTACTTTTTGAAGCATAATCAGAAGCTAAATTAGCAAATTGCAAACTGTTCTTCCCCCCCAAATTAAGCCATCCTAGGAATGTCCCCAACAGGGACAATTAGCAAATTCATGGATGATGGCATGGCTGACACTACAGGTTAGGAATGTGTTAGCATACAAGGTCACAAGTCTTGATTGAAGATAAAGCATGAAAATCTTTGGGGAGCTTAGCTTTTCCTTATGAAACAMGAAAGTTTAGTTTATCAATGACTGTAAACAAGAAGGAGCCTCATGAAAATTTCAAAGGATTAAATAAAACCCTGTTAAATTCTAAAATCATGAAGCAAGAACTAAAATTACTTAAGATATTTTAACTCCCCACAGTGTTTACAATCTAAACATGTCAGTGCACATTCCCTAGGATCAGCTTTGTTCTCAGCTGTATGCAATGTTATTGTTAGGCAGGGCCCAGCACATAACAGAAGTTCAATAAGTATTAATTGAATAAATTAGTGCATTTATTTTTATGGTTTCTTGCCTATAAATCTGTGACAAAAGACTTCCTGGTAGTGAACAAAAACTGTATTGGAGCAGTAATGTCTTTCTTCTAAAACTCTGTGAAACTTAAAAGGAAAATTTAATAAATACCACTCTGATATATTGCTACTAATTCAATTGCTACTAGAATTCATAATTGTGATATAATTTGTTAAATTTTAAAATCAGTTAAAAATTAAAAAGCATTAGGGATTTTTGAATTATGTCTATAGATAATAAAGTTTATTGTTGCTAAGTGAAATTTTTAATCAATCTACTCTTGTGACTTAGGATGTCAAACAWCTATTTTGATTGATTTTTGAGGAGGTGTACTGGGGATTGAACTCAGGGGCACGTGACAACAGTCACATCCCCAGTCCTATTTTGTATTTTATTTAAAGACAAGGTCTCAACGAGTTACTTACTGCCTGCTTTTGCTGAGGATAGCTTTGAACTTGCAATCCTCCTGCCTCAGCCTTCTGAGCCACTGGGATTACAGGCATGCACYACTACACCTGGATATTTTRATTGATTTTAAGTGACTTTACATTGACCACTTATTGGCACAACAAGAAAAGACTTATTTTTAGAATTCCCCTTTTCTCTGAAAGTTAGGGATTCAATTGTAAGTGGAAAAATGAATGCACAAGGAGTTTATTTTCCTTAGTTGTGCACATGAGACCAATATAACATGAGCAGCCAAGGTAATACAGATCTCTATATAATGAGGTCAAGGTGGAGTTTAATAATGCACATGCAAAAAAAAAMCCCACATATGTGTACGTATGTATGAGAAAATATGCATAACCCACTATGAAAAGTCATTAACTCTAAGAAAGATCATTTATCTTTAAAAATGATTACTACTCCACCTATAGCCACACAAACAATGTAATCAACTGAAACTATTGAGCASAAATCTATTTACTTTGCCATTTTCTGAGGTGTGTATCTACATAAAATTTTTTCCATTCTCCCTACTGCTTGAAAAACCAGAAAGGTTATCAGCTAGTGTTTTTGACATCACATAACACATCTGCCTGGAAGCAATTGCAGAATCACTATTTACTGAAATGCCATGTTTGGCAATGTCTGAGATAGGACAATAACTGATTACAAGGAAAATTGCCATCTGCAACTTTATTTCTCTACAAACAAAGACACAAAATGAAGGCTAAAGAAACAACAAAGGAAATAATAGGCTGCAATAAAATATAATTTTTGAAAGTTATTTCTATTATTTTATAATGGTAAAAATTAATTTACTGTTTATATATTCTATAATCCACACAAASACTAGATACTTCAATAATAAACAAAAATGGATGTGAGAAATGTGAAATAAGATATTATCATTTTCAAATATCAGTTAATTTTCACTTCTATGCTGAATAGATTCAAAAATTTCATTTATAAGTCAGTCATTTAAAAAGAACAAAACCTGTGGAATTTTTTTGCAGTATTTTAATGCTCACAAAGCCTTTTTTTAAAAAAATATTTTTATTAGTTTTTGATGGATCTTTATTGTATTTATTTATTTATATGTGGTGCTGAGGATCAAACCCAGCACCTCACACATGCTAGGCAAGTGCGCTAATCACTGAGCCACAAAACTCAGCCCCTCACAAAGCCTTTTTAAAAAACATTAAACTTGATTATTTAGTTGGGTAGGCACAGTAATATCTCCCTTGTACTTCCCTGGTTGACAGGTAAGTAAACTCTAAGGGGCACTCAGTGATTCACCCATAGTCTCCCAGGTAGAAGGCAGTCCCATTGCAGGCAGAATCCATTTCCTAACATCCCCAGGGTCTCAGGTCTGGTGAAAGGTGGTTAAGGGCTGAGGTGGGAGGAACCAAGTCTCTGAGTTAGGTAGCAGGGTAGGAAGAGCCCAGAGCACTGAATGGAAACTCTGAAAGCTCTGTGCTGTTCAAACCTAAACCCCGACTCTCTATCTCCACTTCTCTCCAATCCTTTTTTGCTTTCCGAGGCCCACAGATTTTCTATTTTCTTCTCTTTCTGGAACAGATGCCAAATACTTCTGACTAGAGCAAGCTTCTGTCCTTCATTCTAGTCTTGTAAAGCAAACACAGTCTCCTGGATATTCTTCTAGAAGCTTGTGAGGCTAGAAACATTTACAAGGGACAAAAATTCCTCTTGTACCATAACCATGTAATTTTCTTTGTTTAAAATGTAGCTTTTATTTAGAATAAATGATAAGGAACATACACACAGACAGACAGACACACACACACACACACACACACACACACCACTAAAGCTCTTTCAGAAATTTAAAAAAAAAAAGTGAAATTCACCTATAGTTTAGATTAGAGGTTAGCTTTTTTTTTTTTTTTTTCTGTAAAAGGCCAGACAGTAAACATTTTAAGCTTTTCAGGCCATATGGTCTCTGTCACAACTTCACAACTTTACCATTGCAGCCAAAAGCAGCCATGGACAATATCTAACCTAATGAGTGTGGCTGTGTTCCAATACAATTTTTATTTACAAAAACAGGTGGCAGGCTACAGTTCTCCAGTCTCTGATTCAGAGGAATGAATATATGTGCTCCACCTTTGCTGGGACAAACAAATTGAATAAAGTTTGAACTATACAAGGGCATACATAGGAGAGAGACAGCCATTAGAGTACCATCATGATCTCATTCTCCTGGGTGAAGATGGGAGGAGATGGTAGAAAGTGAGCATTAGATATGAGGGAAAGTGGAGAGGGGAGAAGTTCTTAGGCATGGGAAGGGAACACTAATGCCTCCTTGAAACATTCAGAGGAGGCTTGTCCAGAGGCTTARTGGTAGGTGGGAAAGTGAACAGATACTTGGTTCCCACTCTTTCTGCTCCATTAGCATTCACTCCAGGCCTCTCTCCACTCTTCTTTCTGTGGTGTGGTAAGTTTGGGATGACCTGGCTGGCTGCCCATGGTTCTGCCCCTTCTTCCCTTCTCTCCAAAACAGCACATTCTTCTGGACCTCTGAATGGACAGACCTTGGCTTGGGGAAGCCTGCCCCATGTATCCTGTAACTGAATGTAACTCAAGCTAATTCTGAGATTCAGATTCAGAAACCCTTTTGCTCCCTGATATAAGCCTCGTTCTTCAACACCACTTTTCCAGGCAATACAGATGAGGATTTGATCTCCATCCATTTCTTTTTCCCTCTCAAGCAGAGGGCTGTAATTACTAGCATGCCCTTTGTAGACCCAAGAGCACTGGGAAGGGACTGGTGTGGACTTGATTGGAGCCCACTGCATATAAAAAGTTGTGAATAYGAAAAGCTGTTTTCTTCTTTTTCTTTTTTTTAAGTTAGAGTTTTAATCTAGAATTCCATATCTGAGAATGCAACCTAAAAAACACTGATTCTAAGAG